AAAACTTGCTAGTTTCACTTTGATTTTTTAAACTCAAGTAGGGTAACTCTGTTCGCAAAGGGTGCGCATTTGCGAAGAGGGCGCCACCGAATTTCGAGGACACTTTTTTGATTGGCTCAAAGAGAGGAGCGGCCCATCTTGTTATGTACTATCTTTGCTATTAGCTAACACGCACTGCCATATTTGGCTACACCAATCACTGAGCTGTTTGAAAGGTAAGCTTAAAAATCAAGGGTCACTGAAACCAAACAAGAATAAAGACTAGACATCCATCTGACAAACTCACTAGGAAGGTACAAGAAATTTGGGAAAATGATTTAATTTGGGAAAGACAACGGTTGTGCAGGCAAATTCGAAAAGAATGGAAAGTTATCTGATTTATCTCGAATGTCTTTTTTTCTTGAGGTTTGTTACTCACATTATCATGATGTTATGGTCACTGTCGTCTAAATGCAATAGAGGTCTATTGTGTAATGATTAGCCTCTTCACTTTGCCTTCTACAAGACTTTAATGTAATTCCATGTTGGGAGAATTTTTTGTCTCATGATTTTAAATAACTGGGTTTTTAAAAAACTCTATTATACGTTTCTGTATGCCGGATTTTGGTAACTGCAAATAGAATTGAAAAAACCTGCATCTGAAAAGATCTAAATTTTGTTGATTGAAGCCTAAAGCACATTTTACAGAGTGGCTTTTGTACCACTACAAAAGGTTGCAATAGTTCCAGAATGTTTGCTGCGCGATCGCCCAGACAACTTAAAAAACCCCAGTATGTCATCACAAAAATGGAAAAGCCAGAGATACCACAGCTACTGAGGTATGACAGTCTATTATTAATGCAGACTCTATGAAAAAGGAAGTTCGTGTATCAGATTCTGTATGTGTGCCAGCCAGTGTATGTAAGTTTTCCGTAGGGTATTTGTGTATGTGTATATAATATGTGTATTTTTAAAATGTTGTGTCCATTCGTGTGTTTGTTTTTGTTTCTGTTTGTGTATGTGGGAGTATGTGTGCGCGCGTGTGTGTGAGCACAAAGAAGACTGTTAACCTCATCCCCCTCTTCCAGCTCCTCTCCAACCCCGTCCAGGCCTCCCCTCCAACCCCGTCCAGGCCTCCCCTCCAACCCCCTCCCCCACTCCTCCAACCCCCTCCCCCGGAACCACACACACACACACACACACTCATCCATCGAGGTAAACCAATCAATGATTTGAACATGTGCACTCGGGCAAAGCTGTCAGTTTGCGCATGTTTGTGTGTGTGCTCTAGGTGTGTAATTGCTCGACTGTATTTATGCGTTTGTAGGGTGTGGCATTAGTTCTAAATCGCTGCTCTTCACCTGATGAAGCACTTGGATTTCTGGGACGATCGGTAATGCTTACTTCATATAAATCTTGCTTTATCTTTCGAAAGACTCCCGGTAAAGCCAAACATATCATTATCAATGTCCAATATATCATTATTTCATAAAATGTTCTTTGTAATTGCAAACATACTTTAAAAGGTACAAAAGCGTTGACTGCGTATGTGTTACGTGCATCAAGTGTTAGCAGACAAAAGTTAAACAGAATGCAGAGATAAACTGCTGAAGAAATGCTCTTTCTGTTCACAGCAATAAATCCGTAATGGCCGCCATTTATCCAGTTTGTGTTTGCAAGTCAATTGGAAATAGTTTGCGCTGGCAACCGAGTAATAGCCAGTTTCCATGCGAATACCTTTTATTTACTCTCTTGATATGCAGTTTGTGCAACTTGATGTTCACTAGGAGAACTGTAAAGGCCCGATAGTATGTGGTTTGCGGGTGCTCTGATGTGGTGTATTACTTCTTTCCCATTAAACATCCATCATCCATATATCTCGTTCTTCATTTTTTGTTTGTTACTCTCTCGTAACAGTTATAATCTTCGACACATACATGACTTATGGTATTGCAAGTGTTGTAAAACTCGTACTAAAATAAACAAAAGTCCAAGGTGATGTCACTTGCTAATGTGAGCTCAGTTCCTCACAAACTGGAGGACAGAAATGCTTATGTGAGCAAACCATCGTTGTGATTTGTATGTTCAACATTGTCCTTTTCGGTGCTATTTTTCAGATTTCAAGGCTTCCTGGGCGTTGCGTTTATCGAAATCTCTGAAAGAAACTTTGAGATCTTGGCCAGAAGATACACTTGAGAATTTATCATACGGACGTGTGTGACTATGGAGGATGACCCTCATAACCTTGACCCTCGTATGGGTGAGAAGTCTCCAGAAAATGTGCCTTTGACCACTAATCACGACCATTCATCCGGGGTCGAGAACGGCAATAGCAAGTTCCAGATGGCAGACGATGTTGCAGACTACACTGGGGTCATGGTCAAGGACGAGAAAGGAGCTTCTGGGGATGACGACGAGTTTGTGCGACAATCCTGGGGCAGAAAGCTCGAGTATGTGCTCTCTATGGTTGGATTCTGTGTCGGCCTCGGGAATGTCTGGAGGTTTCCATACGTCTGTATGAGAAATGGAGGAGGTAAGAAAAAAACTTTTTAAAAACATAGGTGTGTGATAGTTGCACTATCATCACAGTTCGAAACAACTTTGTGTAAAGTAATGATTAATTACGCCCGTATAAACACGATGAGAAGGAGTATCGACAATACGTCTAAAGCTGTAATTATTTATTTATTTATTTATTTATGTATTTATTTATTTACATATGTATTATTTATCTGTTCATTTAAATATATTTATTTATTTTAGTTTGTTCGTAAGTTAGCTCGTTCGTTCGTTAGCTCGTCATTTAGTTAGTTATGTATTATATCATTTAGTTAGTTATGTATTATATATTTATCTATTTTTTTAAATCTATTTTTTTATTTATGTATGTACTATTTTTTATTTATGTATGTACTTTTGCTTTTTTATTTATTGCTTTTTTACTTTTAGATGCTATGTTGTTTTGTTGTTTATTTGAAAGGGTTTTTTTAAAGGGGGGGGGGATTGGGAAGGGACTGCTTGCTAGGAGCCATATTATGGAAAGAGAAGACTCATTTTCTTCTTGTACTGTTAAACTACAAAGTACGACGACATAATACAAGTCACACTGTAAGTCATCGCTCTTTTTGAATCAATAACTTATTTTTTTAAGAAAGACAAAAAGAGAACATTGCTTATAAGAAATAGGACTAAAACTATCTACTTAATTATACTTCAGACAAACTGGTACCAGACAATTAATGATAAAAGTTTGATGAAAGTGTATGAAGACAGACAAACGTTTTCAGCAAAAAAGAATAGACAAGGTGTTGTTCAGTTGATGTAAGTGTAAATGCACATTTCAAAAAGGGAAACCCATACAAGGGTTTGAAACAGGACTAAGTTTTATCAAATAATTGTAAAAGGAATTGTAAAATGTACGTTTCAAAAAGGGAAACCCATACAAGGGTTTGAAACAGGACTAAGTTTTATCAAATAATTGTAAAAGGAATTGTAAAAAGCACATTTCAAAAAGGGAAACCCATACAAGGGTTTGAAACAGGACTAAGTTTTATCAAATTATTGTAAAAGGAATTCGGGTGAATTCGTTAGTTTAAAAAATGTTAACGGTAATGGGAATGACAGAAAAATGTTGTAGCGATCGGGAACCATTCTAAAAAGTTGTGTTCACGTTCAGATTTCATGTTACTTTATTTAGCATGTTTGTGTGTACAGTTACTATTTCATGTGTTACTCACTTAGCAATTAAGTTAGAAAATGAAAGGGCGAAAAGAAAGAGAGAGATACAGAGGGAGAGAGAGAGAGAGAGAGAGAGAGAGAGAGAGAGAGAGAGAGAGAGAGAGAGAGAGAGAGAGAGAGAGAGAAACAGACAAACAGACAGACGAACACACAGACAGACAGACAGACAGATGAGGGCCAAAGACGCAGTTGCAAGCAGTAAGGGACTTTAATGTACAATTTTTGTTTATATTATTACGTCCTTTAGAAAATGTGGTATCCTAGTTTGTGGAAGAACAGAGCATCAAGAAACGAACGAAACTTTTTAGTTACGGCTGCCACCATTCCAAATTATACCACAATTGACCAAAAAGAAAATGAAAATTTACTTTGAAAACTAACTCTAGTATCAAATAGTAAGACACTGTTTAAAAAACAACAACAACAGACTGCTCATTTACGACTTCCTGGTCGTCGTGCATTATCTTTTGTTTTTGTTGAACCTGCTCTTAACACTAGGAGACGAATGCACCCCACCCACCGCCGCATTTAAAGCTAACGAAATATCGACTTTATCGTCGGTGGTTTAGTGGTTAGGTTACCGGACTCGCATTTGTAAGGTTGCGGGTTTCGAGAGTTCAAGCTGTGGGCGCGACATTGTGTCCTTTTTGAGAGATGCACTTTACATGAATTTTCCTAATTTCACCCTCGGGAAAATGGTTACCCGGCCATGTGCAAGGAAATATAGTGTCAGTATGTTAGTGTTTTAATGCCTTTAAATTGCACCTTGCACTGAATATGTCCCCGATTCCAGGAAGTTGTGAATTTTTTCTGAATGCTAAAAAGGCTAAAGTGATAATGCAAGTGTAAAGCCCAAAGAGCTTGCTGTTGGGCGGGCGTTTGCGCCACACAAATGATATCTATCTATCTATCTATCTATCTATCTATCTATCTATCTATCTATCTATCTATCAGTCTGTTATTAATATTTTTATAATTACTTTTATTATTGTTATCATTATTATTATTATTGTTATTGTTACTGATATTCTTCTTGTTATTAATATTATTATTATTTTTATCTCAATGACTACCAAAGTGAAAGTTCAGAAATGTTATGTATGGCCAACCCTTCTAGATTCTTCTATATTGCAGTAAATGCAGGACAATCACTAAAGACAGCCAAAATAAAATAGAAGCAACAGAAATGTGGTTTCTTAGGAGACTGCTAAGAATATCGTGGAAGGAAAAGAAATCAAATGAGGCAGTGCTTGATGATGCTCACGTGGGACGCTCAGTGTTAAAAACATCAGAAAATGTAAATGTAGTTTCTGGGACACCTGAATAGACATAATATGGGTCTTGAACATCTAGCTCTCACTGGCAAAATTGAAGGCAAATGAGGCAGGGGTTGGCCCAGAGCAACCTACGGAGGGGGTTCAATGTGTCTTTGGTCTAGGTATGAAGGAATTATGGAAGAGTAATGAAATTTCGCCAGCCTTTAGACAATTTCTTTGGAACACACGATGCAAACTTTTGGGGAAATCGGATAATAATAAGACTCAAGTCAGCGTGTCCAATGAAACCATGCACAAAACGATTGGTTCTTCTTTGCTAAAGCTGTGCCATGGAGCCTGCTGAATATCGCTCATTTATCAAGTTTTCACATTTGAAAGGAAAATCCCCTGCGGACAGTTTTCTGGAAATTGTCCAAGTTTATGGTGGCAAATGTCCTCGTTATAATACTGTGATATACTGGGTATAACAATCCAAATCGGAATTCATGTTCGTGATGAATGAAGATCGTGAAGGGCACCCATCCTTTGTGGTAACTGAAGAGAATGTATCCATAGTGAAGAAACTGTTTTAACAAGACTGACGTATAACTGTTAAACAGCTCTCAAATAAAACGGGAATCAGTGTAGGGTCAATTGAAACGATTCTCCATGACCATCTTAACATGAATAAGGTGTCTGCGTGGTGGGTACCCCTCCTTTTGACAAGTGAGCAAAAGAAGCAGAGGATTGAGCCCTGCAAAACTCTCCTTCAAATTGAGTCCAAAGACACAATTTATTTTAAAAACATGGTGACTATGGATGCAATATGGATATCTTTTTGATCCAGAACAAAAAATGTTCTCAACGGCATGGAAAACCCCTTCTTCTTCCTCGCAAAAGAAGGCAAAGGTAACTCCGTCAAATGGAAAGGCCATGCTGTTATGGTTCTGGAATTGTGAAGGTATCATCATGAATGACTACCTGGAAAAAGTAAATACAGTCTCAGGAGACTACTACAACAATTGGGTTTGCTGATAAAACTTCGGTCCGAATTGATGAGAAAAAGGCTATTAAACCTCCGTAATGGGGTTCGCCTACTGCATCAGGGCACAACAAACAGTCCAGACCGCAGAACAGTACAGCTTGGAAATCCTGCCGCACCCAGCTTATTCACCGGACCTAGCCCCCTCAGACTATTTTTCTGTTTCCTAATCTTAACAAATCGCTGAAATGACGTCGTTTCCTTGACAACGAGGACGCCATTGAAGCTGTGGAAGACTGGTTAGGGGCCCATTCTGGGTCATTTTTTCTCAAGGACCTTTGAAGGTCAAAGAGAGGTGGCAGAACTATGTTACTCTGTATGGTGACTATATATAAAAAATGAAAGTATGTGTGCCAAGTTACAAAGCTCTACCGTTATTCCTTCATATTTAGACCAAAGACTTTTTGAACCCTCCCCCCCCC